TGATCAAAGATTGAGGTGATTCAAAGCTAGGCTTCAGTCTTTGAGGTTAGTCTGTTTCCATTAGTTTTATCCCAAATGAAGCTTGTGTGTGTGGGGGGGGGTGGTGGTTTCTAGACTTCCTTTTCCTAGTTAAGTCCTGATCTTCAATTCTTGTCCCCCTTAGTCACCGGAATGTGTCAGAAGCTTTGCTCAGCTTCTGTGCCCTGGAGCCTCCTATTCGGGAATTGGCAGATGCCCCTAAGCTAGGGGAAGAATGCCCCAAATGTCAGGCTTACCTTCCTGAGTTTCTTTCTTCTTCCTGATCCTGCTCTCCTAATTCTTTGCTACCTTCTTAGTTCTCTGATTCTTCTAAACAGATTTTTAAAAACATGTTTTGTGTAGGTTTTCTTGTTATTCGCCTTGGGACTTAGGTCTGAATTACCTAATTGTGTCATTAGCAGAAGCGTACCACCCTCTCTCAGCCAAGGATTTTATTATCTTAAATCCAGCAGGGATGTTTACAAGTCTCTGGAATAGAATATTAACATGATTTAAGTGGTATTTTAGGAAATTTAATATGTCAGTGGTATGCAGAACAGACAGGAGTTGGGAAAGGCTCAGGAAGTAGAACAGTTAAAAGACCATCATAACTGAGTGCTTTCTAGGGTAAGAAAAAAGCAGGTGTTAGGGTTTCTGAAGCTGGGCCTTTCAGAGAGATCCGCATGAGAGTCTTGGCTCTCCTCCTTACTAGCAGATTGCCTTGAAAGCAGTTCCTTTACCTATCCTGTCATCTGTAATATGGAATACTAAATAAAGTCCCTACCTTCTTAGGGTTATAAGAATTACACGAGAAACTCAGAAAAACTGGTTTTAATGGGTTGGCATATATTATGTGCTCAGTGAATAGTCGCCATTGCTGTTACTATTCCAAGATCCAAAATTCAGTTATTTAGGTTAAAATTCAAGATCACTGTTACTGGCCCTGAGCATGACCATACCATTGTCAACTTCATGGGGGACTGATCACTTCCTGTGAGTCACAGGGAATAGCTTACATGCATTGATGGGCACCACCAGTACCAGTGATATTCTAAATACCCGCCATGTACTGAACTGATTTAGAGGCTGATGCCATGGCTCTAAAGATGATCCCAACCCCACATCTCAAAGGTATAATGAGAGGTGATTTTAGAAAGTGCGTTTTGTTGGGATCGAGGGTAGATGTTCCATATTTTAGGCTTAAAGAGCCATAATTTCAGCATTTCACTTTAAAAAAAGATTGATTGATTTATTTGAGAGAGAGAGAGCACATGCGAGCAAGAGTGGGGTGGAGGGAGAAGGAGAGAGAATCCTTAAGCAGACCCCCTGCTGAGTGAAGAGCTGGACGTGGAGCTCCATCCCAGGACCTGAGACCATGACCTGAGCCGAAATCAAGAGTCGGGCCCTTAACTGACTGAGCCCCCCAGGCGCCCCAAGCATTTCACTCTTAAAAACAACCCAGTGCACAAGCATAGAAGCTTACACAAAAGATAAACCAGATAATGAGCCTTCATGTCACAAAAGGATTCCTAGAGTCGTAGATCACTTGAGAAATTATCTTTTTGAAATTTCTCATTTTCCTAGATGATCGAAGTGCAGACCAGAGGGTTTGGGTGACTAGCCTAAGGACACACACTAGTAACGTCAAGGTCAGGACTGGAACACGTGTCTTGATTTCTGGTGGACTGTGGTTCTCTTGCCAAAAATAGCACCTTTTTGTCTTTTCTCACCTGTTCCATGCCTTCCCCAACTCAGTTTGAGTTTCCTGTGGTCCATGGGACCGGGTGCCTCTGGGAAACTCGCCTTCCAAAAGGGAAGACCCATCTGTCACCATGAATTTCATTGACAGAAGCTAGAAAATTCATGCCAAAGAGGACTCTTTTCTCAGTATCTAGTCTCTGACCCTCTGTGACTGTCCTCTCAGCCTTTTAATCTCTGGAAATCCCATTTATTTTTTGTGTCAAACTAAAGGATGAGTTTCTGGCGCTAGGCTCAATATAGCATTCCACCTTCACTTTCTTCCGCACAAGTCAGGACGTACACTCGGCTGGTGACCATCATGGGAGACCTATTACGGCACCTGTTTTCTTCTGCATCAGGCAGCGAGACCACTGGTCAATCATTACCTGTTTAGTGTGTGGGACGTGGGGCCGGGCTCTAAGATCAAGTATATATAGAGGAAGTATCTTCATGTGAAAGGATTAGTTTTTTCCCAGTGTGTAACATCGGGGAAGTCCTAGGTGTTTAAAACAAAACAAAACGTAGAACCTAAAATAAGAGAAGTCCTTTGTAACAGAGTTTGTCCTACTCTGATAAGGCGATGCTTGCTATCTCTGCTTTTCCTAAAAATCTGCTTATGAGTAATGACAGTCCTAACTCAAGATTTAGAACATCTTTTACGTGTGTGATTTCCACAGTGTTTTGGCTAGGTAACTGAGAGACCGAGGTTTGGCTGAGCTGTGTCCTTGTTAGAAAGGCCCAGCATGTAAATAAGGGGTGGACCAACAGATAGGTGATACAGAACGTGATACGCTGAGCCTAATGGAGGGGCTCTGCTTGCCAGAATGACCAGACTTTGCAGGAAGAGCACAGAAGAGCAGGTGGCTCATAATTAAAAATAGAAGGCAATCTAGAGCCTTGCTCCTCAGAGTCTGGTCCAAGGACCTTGGAGCTTATTAGAAAGGGGGAATCACAGGGCTCACCTAGACCTGCCAAATCAAGATTTGTGTGCCCATTAAAAGTGGTAATGTACTGGTCTGGATTTTGTAGTCAGCTCTTCCCTTTACTGTCAACAAAATCGATCATATCATTCATTTGCATTAATCCCCAGTTATCCCTCCTGTCTTGGGATGATGATCACAATCCCTAGGCATGGTTCTCCAGGCCCTGCAGGGCCAGCCTGTCTCTGGCCCCTCTCTGTTGCCAACTGCTTTCTAGTACCATTCTGTACACAGGACTCTTCGTGTGGTATGGTAATCTCTTCCTTCTTGTCCCTTATTAGACTAGGAGTTTCTAGATGCTAGAGGATGTCTTGCCTTTTCCTGTTCCTGGAATATCATTCTCAATAAATGATCTTGAAAAGGTGGATAAACGCATGAGGGACTGGAATGACTTGCGAACCACTAAGAGCAGCGGTATTGGGGGCCCCTGTGGGCTTGTCCCCAAGCTTCCTGTTACTTATCTCAAAGAGCGGTGACCTGAAGCCTCCACATGCGTGGACAGGGCCAACCAGCAATGTCAGCCCAGCTTGGCTGACCTTCAGAGCTGGCCTGGATCTTGTTTGAATATCTCCTGGGTGGAAGGCAGCATTTGGGCTTTGTAGGAATATTAAAAGACCCTACGAGGGGTAGAGTTCCTGCTCTCAAAGAACTTACAGTTTGGTTAGGAAGAGAGGTGTACACAGTGGAAGAGTTTATAGTTAAGGAGAGAGTTGGATAAGAACAAAGACAGCATGGAATGCCACTCTCAAGCAGTGTTTGATTCTCAAATGAGCAATGTAAGATCAGTGAGTATTGGGGAATCTGGGAGGAGGATTGGGCTGGAGTGGTCTGGGAAGGCCTGTGGAGAAGGAGGGCAGAAACTGGGTCTTGGAGGATGGGGAAGGATGGGCAAGGCCTGAGAAGGAGCAGCAGAGAGTGCAGTGTGAGCAGGGATTCCGAGGAAGCATCTGCAACAGAGAGTGGATCTGAACTGGGAGAGATGTGCAGGTTCTAGAATCGAGTTCTAGAATGTCGTCAGGCTCTCGAGGCCAAGGCTCTGACATAGTGATGCTCGCACGCTGGCAGAACTGGGGGAGGCACAGAGGAGAGAGAAGTCCTCTGCAAGCTGGGAGAGAGAGTGACTGAGACTTGGATCATCGCAACCCAAATTCATCTCAGTAGAATTTTCGGAGCTCATTTTCGGAGGAGGAAATGAGTAAAAGAAGGAAGATACAGCTAAGGGTTGAAAAGAGGATGATGTCACACTGTCCATGAAGTTTTATAGAGTGGAAGCTTGAATGGACCTCATCTTTGCTTTTGAATCCCACATTCCATTTAAATTTACATGCAAATAGGATGAAGATGAGTGCTAGACAGTACTTTGTTAGTGATTGCACTCTGGTGGTATTTGAGTGGACAAGGGAAAGACTATCTAGAAATGTATCTGGAAGGAGGGAAGAGAGGCAGGATGTGGGCTGGTGGAGGGACCATGTTTAGACCAGGCAGCTATTTTCAGAGGGAAGGTTAGTTAAAGGAAGGGGAGGAGGATCTCAGGTCAGAGGGAGTGGCCGTGAGGGGGGGTCTTTGAGGGAGGGAGCAAGAGAGTGCATGAACGTGAGTGCCGAGCTGAAGCCAGAGCGGAGATGCTGCCGGGCTCTGAGAGTAGATAGGACACCAGATGAATTGATGCTTTTAGACTTTAAAGCATGAAAATTGGTGGTTCAAAACATTTCTGTCACCCAGATACCCAAAAGCCACAAATTGGCTCTAAGCACTGTTTCCCACAACTGTTTTGCTCTGTCCACCCTGGGCTCTTGGGAGGGTAACACCCAAAGGTATTTGTAAACTGCTGGTCCTCCCAATACCCACCTGCTACACCGAAGGGCTCTGCTACACAGCCGGGTTGGGGTGGGGCTAAGACCTCTCTTTAGGCCAAGTCCCTAGGGTGTCCAGGCCCTCGAACTAGCAGGGTTTCTGCCAGCCCAGGCCTTCTACACCCATGGGACCTAGTGCGAGCCCAGGCCTTCTACACCCATGGGATCTAGTGTGAGCAGGTCTGGCCCGAACCATTGTCCCACCGAGACAGCTCCTCATTACTGAGTATGCTCTAGCAGGGCAGGCCCCCTCCCGCCCACGCTGGCCCTCCGATCCACCGCCCACGTCAGCTGTGTGGTTTTGGGGAAGGGGACGGGGAAGAGGGTCAGGCAGAGGTGTAGAATTTCACAGTTCAGACCTGACAGTCACTAGCAGAATTACCTGATGCTATGTTTCTCTTCTGCAAAGGGTACCATGCCGGTGGAAAGGATGCGGATGCGCCCGTGGCTGGAGGAACAGATTAACTCGAATACGATACCAGGGCTAAAGTGGCTTAATAAGGTAAGTGTGTTGGGTGCCTCTGTGTGTGTGTGTGTGAGAGAGAGAGAGAGAGAGAGAGGTCCATGCATGGGGACCGCCAAAGTAAAATTGCATTCTTTGTGTTCAAAATCTTAACCTTATTCGTTACAAAACCAGCCAACCAAAAATGATCTGTGTTACTGTTTAATGATTCTTACCCCCTTCCTTCTCTAAATGCCTCTCTTGCTTCTCCTGGCTTCTAGGATTAGAGAACATGGAAACTCTCGGGTTTTGTGTTGGGAATGGAGCATATTGGCTCTCTTCTCAGTATTGTCTGTGTAAAGAAAACTTTTTGTTTTTTGTCTTAAAAAAAGTCTTCTCTTTTCATTGTGAAACACTGTTTGTGTGCCTACCGGTCCTAAAAAAGTAGGCTGTCATTTACAACCCCCCACATATGTACATACATACACATGTACATAGATCCTCCCTTACTTTACCAACCTTAGACTCTCAATCCAATTGCTCCTACCTGCTAGGAGTGAATCAGGAAGAGAGTGGATATCAAAATAAAGAACACCTGAAAATACATAGTTACCACCTAGAAAAGCAACTAATATATCATGCCTTCTTTAAAAGGGCCCAAGGGAGACGTTTCTCTCCCGCTACCAGGAATATCGCAATTCTTCTGAGTAAATTTCCTTTTCCTCTTCTGCCTCCCCCTCATTTTAATCTTAAGGACCTGATGACTAATTCAGCTGGTCAGGCTTTATCTTCGTATGGTGTGCTTGAGGGCTTAGAGCCCGGTTGTGGCCCGCTTCTAACAAGTGTGGAGGGTCCTGCAGCATCGTTGTGCTTACTCATATCACTCCTGGCTTCATCTTGTCTTTTCAGATGTCTCTTGAGCCTTATTTCCCCTTGCCCACTTATTTCTTTTTTCACTTATTTTAAGTGTAATGGTATTTTATTTGAGTGCATCAGTTTCAGTAGGTCCTTTTCTGAAACAAGGTGGGGTAAGAAGTGAATAGAAATAAGTAAACTATGCTCGCTTCAGGGGAACTGTCCTATATCTTAAGGTCTTACGGCAAATAATTTCTTTTTCTAGGCTTGCTATATCCATAGTGTTTCAGATTTGTATCATGGAGGGGTTTTGTAATTAGCCTACTCCAAAGACACAAACAAGAAGTCTGGTTGGGTCGTGGCCTCCTTGGTTATAAGGAAGGGGAAACTGTCGTCAAGCAGAATTGAAGAAACATAGGGTATTCAGTAACGATAATAATCATAAAGACTAATGTTTATGAAGTGCCAGGTGCTCATTTAAGCAAGACACGTGCATTAACTCACATAATCCCCACAATGGGGGGGAGATACTATAATGTTTTCCATTCCACAGACAACGAAGCCAAGGCACAGAGACGTGAAGTAGGATTATATTTTAAAGGACAAGATAACATTGCCTATATTGATTTAGAGTGTGACATTAAAATAGAAGTTCCTGGTTTCTGAAGAGAAGTAATTTTTTTTTTCTGTTTAAAAAACACATCCATCAATTTTGGCTGGCTTGATACAGGGCCAAACTTAATGTGTTATCATGTCCCCTGTATGATTAGGCACTTGATATGGTGCAATTAACTGTCCTTCTAGTAGGTTAAATTGTGCTCGGCCCCCCCCACTCCCCGCTTCCCACAAAAGGTATATCCACGTTCTAGCCCCCGGAAACTGTGGATACGTCCTTACTGGGAAAAAGGGTCTTTGGAGAAAGTGAAGGATCTCAGGATTACCCCAGATTATCTGGCTGGGCCAGTCTGATGACGAGTGTCCGTATAAGACAAGAACAGAAGGCCATGTGGAGACAGAGGTAGAGAGATTGCAGAGATGCAGCCACAAGCCAAGGACACCCGGGACCACCAGAAGTCAGAAGTGTCCAGGAAAGATTGTCTTTACAGCCTCTGAAGGGAATGTGGCCCTGCCGACATCGTGGTTCTAGATTTCCAGCCTCCAGAACTGTGGTAGGATAGATTTCTGTGGTTGTAAGCAGCCCAGTTTGTGGCAGTTGGTTATGATAGCTCTGGGAAACAAACACACCCTCTTACGGTTGCTTCCTCACCGGGACTCTCCATTAAGACACCTCTTCTTCCATCCACTTTGTCCGTGTTTTTCTGATAGACGACTGGAAAGGGAATGGATTCCTTTTTGTACAGCTGCATACTTGGCCCCTCGTAGGTGGCCCTTGCTGCTGAGCTTCACTCAGCCGGCTCTTGGCTTGTGAGTTCTCTTTCCTGGTAAGGACAGAACGGAGACCCCTTACCTACCTGGTCTGGCTGCTCAGCCTGAGGCAGATGACACGTCTCAGGAGGCCCCTGGCACAGGAGGCCATGGGCACCCAGTAGGGCAGGCGGCCCACGGGCCTGGGCGGAGTGTGCATGCAGCTCTGTCCATGCTCGTGGGCAGGGCTGTCCCAGTCATTGTGGACCTCGGGTGGCGTCAGGGACATCTCTCCATACCTACACCTCCTCAGGCCATCTTTTCATAGGTCTCTGTTAACTTAGGCTTTGGCACTCATCTGCCCACACAAATATTTCACTGGAGACCTTACTATTATTTCCTTCTCTTTTTTTAAAGATTTTATTTATTTATTTGAGAGAGAGAGAGAGCAGGGGGAGGGGCAGACGGAGAGGGAGAAGCAGGCTTCCCGCTGAGCAGGGAGCCCGACGCAGGGCTCGATCCCAGGACCCTGAGATCATGACCTGAGCCCAAGGCAGATGCTTAACCTACGGAGCCACCCAGGCACCCCCTGTTATTTCCTTCTTATTCAGAAGCATTCTGCCTAAGAGAATCCCTGCTTGTGTGTTCAGTGGTTTGAGATCGCTGTAAAATCTCTTCTCCCACTGAAGGCTGGTTATAACTCAGGAAACTGTCTGTGGGGCTTTGTTACTACTCACTTACGCCTTAGCTGCCTTATTCAGAATGTGTTGGTGTTGGTGGTGAAGTCCTCTGTGCTGGAAAGCCCCGGGGGGCAGGCCAGGGATGTCGTGATTGTTGCCGCTCGCAGGCTCGGTGCGAGGCCTCCTGCCAGACCCTTAGGAAGTCCTAGGTGAATACTGTTCCATGAGTGAATGGGAGAATGATATGTGCTTGAAGAGGAGTGACATGGGTGACCGTGTCTTTGTTCTGTTGAGATCATCGGACTTGAGAACATTGGGTCGGCAGTTGTCATGTTTCTCTCAAGTGGAGAGTCCATCATATTCGGGACATTCTTAGTAAGAGACAGAGCAGTGGTTAATGAATGCCTTAAATTGGTTTCCATCTCTTATTCTCAGTACATGTTGAGGAGGATGGTGATGGCATGTGTCCTCTGAAGGAGCCGTGAGGAAGTTTGGGGAAGCAGCCTCAGCACAAGCTCTGGCAGAAGGCCTAGGCTTGGGCCCGTTCCTTTTTATTATGAGTATTTGCAAACATACATGGCAGGTGTGAACAGTCTAATGGCTAGAAAGAATAGTATAGCAAATTCTCATGTAGTTTCCAAATTCGCATCCAGATTTAAAAATCATTGACATTTAAAATATTTGTGTGTGTGTGTGTCATTTGAAAGCAACTCCCTGCCTGTGTACATCTGTAAGACTTAAGACTATTTTCTGCATATTCACAATACCATTATAAATTGAATAACCATAAATTACTCATCGTTAATCATAACTTTTATTTTTTTATTTTTTATTTTTTAAAGATTTTATTTATTTATTTGAGAGAGAGAGAAAGAGAGAGAGCACACGAGAGGGGGGAGGGTCAGAGGGAGAAGCAGACTCCCTGCCGAGCAGGGAGCCCGATGCGGGACTCGATCCCGGGACTCCAGGATCATGACCTGAGCCGAAGGCAGTCGCTTAACCAACTGAGCCACCCAGGCGCCCTAATCATAACTTTTAATATCATCCCTGTACCATCCATATTCAGAATGCCTTGCGTACTCCCCAGAATGTGTTTTTCTAATTGATTTGTTCCGTCAGAATCCAGAGAAGGCTGTTCTGACTCAAAGTGTCCCCTGATTGTCCTGATTATGAACAGTAGCCCCTCCTTTTTTTTTTTCCCTTCTTGCCTTTGACTTGTCGAAGAGGCCAGGTCCGTGCTGGATTGGTCCAAATGCTTGCTTGTGGTCTCTCTGGGCCATTTCTTGAGGAAGGAAGGAGGCAGCCACAACCAGGTTCATTGTTTCTCCTGTAGCTCTGATAGATTCCCACTCTGGTTATGGATGCGCTCCTTGCACGTGGGAGATCAGCCTGGACCCTGGGGGCCTGAGGCCAGTCCCCAAGCACCCGAGGCCATCACCAGTTAGTTTCAGACCATATCCTTCTGTTCACTTTGAAAGCAGGCTTGTGCTTGTGTAAATGTCAGACCGTCTCAGAACAAGGTTAGGAGTCCTAGCAAAAATAGCAGAGTAAATTGGAACATCTTATAAATACTGGGGGAGAGAAGAGGCAGAGGAGGTGAAGAGAGCTAGTTGCCTCTTGGGGCCCAGGTACCTTCTGCATTTCTCAAGATAATCTTAAATGTTCTTCGCAACTTAAGCACTGCTTCTCTCTCCTTCCCTCAGGTGGGCAGAGTCCTGTCTCTCTATAAACATTGGTAGAGTCTGGACATGCTGTCCCTCCAAACATGGTGTGCACAGCCTATGTGGATGGGGCGCTCAGGGCTTCTGATGGCACAGACTGATGGCCCAGAGTCTACACAGACACAACGCGACGCTGTCACCATCCCTAATAGGACACACTGATCAATGACCAGAATGTTTACTGGTCAGAATCTCTTCCGGCTTTAAAATGAGTCTCACCTTCTTTATCTTTCAGCATCGTCTTAAAAAAAAAAAAAAAAGATACATGTGATATGTTTATTAGCAGTTTATTTTTTGCAATATGAAAAACTAGTTGAAAGTGACATGTGTGGTTTCTTTTTAATTTACCACTTTAATTATTTTTTTTAAAGATTTTATTTATTTATTTGACAGAGAGAGACACAGCAAGAGAGGGGACAGAACACAAGCAGGGGGAGTGGGAGAGGGAGAAGCAGGCTTCCCGCCGAGCAGGGAGCCCGATGCAGGGCTCGATCCCAGGACCCTGGGATCATGAACTGAGCCGAAGGCAGATCCTTAACGACTGAGCCACCCAGGCGCCCCACCACTTTAACTGTTTTTAAATGTGCAATTCAGTGACATTGTCTACTCACAATGTTATATACAGTCATCACCACTAGAATTCCAGAATTATCATCACCCCAAAAGGAAACAGTTGGCCATTGAGCAGTCACTTTCCATTGCAAAGCATTTCAAATCCTTTCCTTGTGCAAGGCATCCACTAATCTGCTTTCTGTCTCTTTGGATTTGCCTTTTCTGCTCATTTCACATAAATGGAACCATTCAATATGTGGCCTTATGTAGAAAGCTTCTTTCACTTAGCATGATGTTCAAGGTTCATTCATGTTGTGGCACCTGTCAACACCGCATTCCTTTTTGTGACCGAATAATATTCTATTTATGCATGTACAACATTCCCTTTATCCATTCATCAGTTGATGGACATTTGGCTGTTATGAGCAGTGATGTTATGAACATTTACGTATAAATACTTGTTTCAACGCCTGTTTGTAAGTCGCTGAGTGAAATTACTGGGTCATGTGGGCACTCTCTGTTTAACTTTTTGGGTAATAGCCAAATTGATTTCCATAGCATCTACACTGGGTGACATTCCCACCAGCAGTGTAGGAAGGATCCAGTTTCTCCACATCCTTACCACCAACTTTTTATTTATTTATTTATTTATTTATTTATTTATTTATTTATTTATTTATTTATATTATTTTATTCTAGCTACCTGGGGGTATAGGAAATGGTATCTTGTTGTTTTGATTTCCATTGGCCTAATGATTCACGATGTTGGGTGTCTTCATGTGCTTATTGGCCATTTATTTATCTTCTTTTGAGAAAGGTCCACTCAGACCTTTTGCCCAGGAAAGAGGATCCATGGATGCATGGTGGATAATTGCTAGGTTTAGTCATTATGTTTGTGGATTCGTGATTTGGGCAGAGTTTCTATGAGACTTGATTTGGTAGGTGTGCGTGTGAGAGCACACATGTGTGCATGCAACTGCATGCATGCAGTGCTTGAAAAGATCTACTTATCAGCACCAACTTTGTGTTTTATGAGGTAGACTTTAGATTGTGTCCCCTCTGGAACTCCTCTGACCTACAAAAATGTGCAACAGCAGATTCTATAAAGGGTCTGCATCTTTAAGCGTAAACCTTCAGATCTGGTTGCACTTTCATGTGAACATCAAAAATTGCCATAAATGACTTTGCTCTCTGATTTTCATCTACATTAAAAAAATAAAATTTCACTCACTCCTTGGCTTATCACTGCTCTTTGGAAATGGCTAACCTGAAACCATGCTATCTCGGTGGATGATGCAGAATGAACAAGGAGGGGTTTATGAAAAGTCTCTCGCTTTCAGTTCTTTATTAACTGAGTTTTAAATACAGTAGAATTTTCCCTTTTAACAGTTTTTGGGGAACTCTTAAATATTCTGAAATATTTTTAGTTCAGGCTTCTGTAGAGGCATTGACTCCCTTTGGGGTCTGTTGGGACCCTTTCTGTCTTTCATTGGGTGAGACCAATATGGTGGAAAATCCCTACTGACATTTTCTTTCCTTTCCCAGATCCTCATACCTAGAAACTACCTGAACTACCTTTAGGGCTTAAAAATACACAGTTTTCCTGGGCTTGGTTTCCACAGAAGTCAAGACAACAGATGTGTCATAGGATAGGAAATCTCCACTGGGAGACAATATGTGGTGTGATTAAGTGATTGAATATGGGATCCCGTGGCCTGGTTTTGAATTCAGACACTTGCTATGATCATTTCCTTGGCTGTGGAACTTAAGTCTGTTCCTCAGTTTCTTCAACTGTAAGGCAGAGATAATTACATACATGGAGCTCGGTAGGTTCTTGCAAAAAATGAAACTGAGACCACGTGAACCCGTGGGCAGTCACATGTAAAGAGCCACGAGAACTTAGTAAGTGCTGGGACTGTCGGGAGAGCTGGTTGAAGAAGTTGCATGTGAGTGTGACTTTGTTTCTAACATGCTGCTAGTTTCTAATCCTGTGTTTTAAATGCCAGGGTTGATTTAAGCTCTTTTGAGTTACCTCTTGAGCAGTAAGAGAGATGGAAAGGGCCTACTGTAAGAATTGTACCAAGGGACTTTACCTAGAAAAGTAGTATCATCTCCACACATTTAATACATCTTTGTTTGCACTTCTTGCTGTTTCCTGCAGGGCAGTAGACACTCAGGGGTTAGAAAATTAGACCAAATCTTCTTTTTCTGTTGGCTACCCAGTAGACTGAGGTATTGGATCCCTGTGGCAGTGACCTCAGATAACCCCGATTTCCCTTTAGCAGCACAAATGGGTGTAATTTTGGAAAGTTGCCTAAGTTTTAATTTACTTAAGGAACTGGAGTTCCTCTCTAGCAAATGATGGAAATCAACGATAATCATAAGCATTAGAGGTTTTAGTCAGTGGCTAGTTCTCTGTGGTCCTTCAAGGAAAAATGGCACAAATAATGGAGCACATTGGCATATCCCCAAATCAACTCCTTTGACCTTGGAATGCATTCCTATTCTGCCAGACTCCATATGACTCTGAATCTCTCCCGAATAGACTGTCAAGATCTGGGGCCTAGTGGGGAGGCGGGTTTGGTTCCTAGTGGATTTTACTGTAGACACTCAGCAAACCCGGTGTCACTTAATAGAGAATCTTACTGGATAGGACATAAGAACCTTCTGTTAAAGATGGCTTGAATTCCATGGCTGCAGTCCTTTTTTTTTTTTTTTTTTTTAGGAAAAGAAGATTTTCCAGATCCCCTGGATGCACGCGGCTAGACATGGGTGGGATGTGGAAAAAGATGCACCACTCTTTAGGAACTGGGCAATCCATACAGGTATTAAAGCCCCCTGCATCATCTATAGAAGCAGAAATTGTTGTTTATTGTTACTTTCATGGCTTCATTTGTTTTAAAAGATTTTATTTATTTATTTGGGTGAGAGAGAGAGAGAAAACAAGTGGGCGGGGGAGGGGCAGAGGGAGAGGTTAGAAGCAGGCTCCCCGCTGAGCAAGGAGCCCGATGTGGGGCTCGATCCCAGGGTCCTGGGATCATGACCTGAGCCAAAAGCAGATGCTTAACCCACTGAGCCACCCAGGTGCCCCATTGCTATCTTTTTTTTTTTTTTTGAGATACAATGGACAAATAAAATTGTAAGATATTTAAAAGTGTACCATGTGATGATTTGATGTATGCGTTGTGAAAAGGTTCCCCCCATCAAATTAATTAATACATCCATCACCTCTCATATTTACCTTTTACTGCTTTTGGTTTTGGTGCGAGCACCTTGACGTTCTACTCTCTTAACAAATTTCGATTATGCAATACAGTGTTAACCATTTAAAAAAATTTTTTTTACTACATACATGTGGCTTATGGTCTCATGAAAATAGCTCTGAAAAATCTGTGGCGTGTCCCCAGGCACATCCAGGACACGTGGGGCCCAAACTCCATCACTCAGAAGTGATGCTTTGCCCATCCTATAGAAACTTAGTCCTTAAATTTCCTGTGAGTGTGGGATTCTGATTATGTTCCCCAGAAACGTACTTGTTCTGGAGTGGTAAACTTGGTTTGCATTTATCTCTTCAAAAGATAGTCAAGAATATATTTATTTATAATTGAATTTAAGTAGGGAGCGCTATTTACAGGAAGAGACTTTTTACTAGTATTTGAAAGTCAGATGGAAAAGGGACACTCTAGTTTACCTGGGCTTGAAGGCCTCCCCAACCTGCCAGCTTTCTCAGTTACTTACCTTGAGTCTCCGTTCTACCATTATCAATTTTTTCTCAAGCTGTTAGGTAGAGCCTGGGTGACCAGTTTGTCCCAGTTTGCCCAGAACGGTCCAGGTTTTAAAACAAAAATTCTCACATCCCAGGAATTCGGTCTTGGTCCCAGGCAAACCAGGACGGTTGGTCACTGTAGTAACCTGGAATTGAGAAGGGATCTCTGCACTACCTGGCCGGCAAGCCTATGTTTCCAGAAACTTCTCCTCTCTATTTTTTCTCCTTCTTTTTCTTAACCTTCATTCTTTTGGCTATTTTGTTAGGAAAGCATCAACCAGGAGTAGATAAACCTGATCCAAAAACATGGAAGGCGAATTTTCGATGTGCCATGAACTCCTTGCCCGACATTGAAGAAGTCAAGGATAAAAGTATAAAGAAGGGAAACAATGCATTCAGAGTGTACCGGATGTTGCCCTTATCTGAGCGACCTTCTAAGAAAGGTAGATATTTACTGCCTAAAACAATGGTCACATAGTATATATCGTAGTACCTCCGAGGATAGAACACTTATTCACACTGTGGATGATAGTTCTCCCTTTGCCTGGCTGGGGGAAGTGACCGTTAGGTCACCGAAGGCGGTCGGAGAAACATGTAGAATTTTGACCATGTGTGGATTAAAGCATGCATGGGTTCATCGAGAGTTCCAGAAAGAAGTGAGGGGAAAATGTTCTCTGTACATTCCTCATGAATTAACCCCAGACTATTTTTTGTTGCCACAGGAAAGAAACCAAAGACAGAAAAAGAAGACAGAGTTAAGCACATCAAGGTAATCTTTGGTTGTTCAGAGAGAAAGCCAAAGTTGTGACCATATTAATGATTCCTGTTCTGTCTCATAAAACCAAGTAATGTGACCTCTGTGATTTAGTCTTTCTTCTTTGGCTCTTTTGTTTTATGTGCTCTTCGTGTCTCCTCTTTGGCTTGTCCCCTCAAGCAGACTCTGGTACACGTATCCCCTGCCTAATCCAATTTCACTGAGCAGTTTATGAATGAAGTCACAAATTCACACTGAGCTGGACTCCAACCTCCATCTGGTCCCCACGACTGTTGCCAGCTGGTCCCTTAGTTCTAGCTGAGCTCCAGCAACCAGCTCCTATCTGATCATATTAAGTATGTTTCCAGGCTATTAAATAGATCTTAAAATCTATTAAGTATTATATACTTACATTAAAATGCATCACCTATGTGTTATGCTTATATTCCATGACAGGCCCCAAGGTTGGGGGCATGGAGGTCCGTTTGAACACCCTATTAGTGTGGTTCTCACTAGCCTCTCTCTGCCTCACCTCAGAACTAACTCTCACGACTCCCCAGGCCTTTCCATAGGGATGTGTGTGCGTGAGCCTTTCAGTAGGCTGTGTGGTCTGGAATCCCCTGCAGAGTGAGGATCTTTGTGCCTAGATGGCTTGGCCCTTGTTTAATAGTCAGAGAATAGCCAAAACCTGTGCAAAATTGAGGATGAGCTTCAGTTGCTGAGCGAAGAGCAGACACTACCCTCCCCCGCCTACAGACCGTCAGAAAGAAGGTCATCAGATTGTCCTAGGGTTCACGGCACTCCATTTGCAGAGGGAGAAACTGAGGTTCAAGGGAGTTGACTGATGTGGGCCCAAGGGCGGTGGCACACATGGCCAAAGTTGCGTGGTCGCTGAGAACTGAACTTAAAGACGATGCCAAGTGCTCTGATTCCTAACCCAGAATTGCTGTCAGAGGAACAACCCCAACTGTCCAGACAACACGATGTTTAAAAACAATCCAGTTAGTCCAAATAGACAAAATACAACAATATTTACTTCTGATAGAAAGTTAGACTTGTGAAGGTAGATAGAATTTGAGGGACAGCTGAGATAACCTGTTAAAGTTTCGGGAGTATTCACCTTCCCTTCAAAGTGGAAAACAATTATTTTCAGCAAAATATTTCATTAGTGACACGTCCAGTTTCACTCTAAATATTTTTAGTTTGCGACTTATTTTAAATACAGCACAGTACTGAGGCCTAATTTTGTTTTAACTTTTTTATTGTGGAAAAATTTTAGGCACACAGGAAGGAGACACCCGAGGAGAATTTGCTCTGTGACCATCACCCCAATTTCCACATTAATCAGCTCGTGGCAGTTTTGTTTCAGGGGTGGGTGCCGCCATCCACGTCCCTCCAGCCCATAGGAATGACCGATACTTGGCCATTTTTGACTCACAAAACCATTTCATATGGTTCAGCGCACTATTCTGAAGCAAATCCCACATCGTATCACTTCCCCCCCATAATTATTTTAGTATATACCTTCAAAATATGGGAACTCTTTAAAAATAACACAGTATCATTACTGCATCTGAAGAATTAACAGTAATTTCTCAATCTCGTCAAATATCCAGTCAGTGTTCAGATTCCCAGCTGTCTCATAAATGATGTCATTTTTATACAGTCTGTTTATTTGAATTAAAATCCATATAAGGTTCACATATTATGATTTGGGGGTTATGTCTCTTATATATATATATATATATTTTTAAAGATTTTATTTATTTATTTGAGAGAGAGAGAATGAGAGACAGAGAGCACGAGAGGGAAGAGGGCAGAGGGAGAAGCAGAACCCCCCCGCTGAGCAAGGAGCCCGATGTGGGACTCGATCCCGGGACTCCAGGATCATGACCTGAGCCGAAGGCAGTCGCTTAACCAACTGAGCCACCCAGGCGCCCCTATATTTTTTTATTTTATTTTATTTTATTTTTAAATTTTTTAAAAAGATTTCATTTATTCATGAGAGACAGAGAAAGAGAGGGAGGCAGAGGGAGAGGGAGAAGCGGGCTCCCCATGGAGCAGGGAGCCTGATGCAGGACTCGATCCCAGGACCCTGGGATCATGACCTGAGCCAAAGGCAGACACTTACCGACTGAGCCACCCAGGCACCCCTCTTACATTTTTTCTTAATCTATAGGTCTCCTTTAACATCACTTTTTAAAAAATTTATTTTTCCTTGCAACTGAAAAAAAAAACAAACTAGTTATTAGTTGTATCAAGTGTCCCAGAGTTTGGATTTCTTTCTAGGGCCTACTTTTCAATGGGTGTTGTTTAGTCAGAAAAGTATGACTTCCCCACAAATAGGTGACTGAAGAATTTGCTACAATCTTGAGTATGACTATGTCATATTTACAACTATTTTCATAGCATCTAGCTCAATGCCTGGTACAGAACTGATCGCTAAATAGATGCATAAATAAATACAACGTGTGAGGCAGGAGCGGGGGTTTTACATCGCTGTGCAGATTTAATTTCATAATCTCAGTTAACACACAGTGAGAATGGAGTAACCGACGTTCACTTTCAACAAACCTTGCTCAAACATACCTTCCATACCCCATTGATTATCAGATGCCAATAATAAGAGAACACCATTAGTTTAGGTATGTCTAAGCAAGAAAAACTGCTTACAATGAAACCATGGCCCACAGTTGATTACAAGGCACATTCCATTTTAGGGCTGTGGACATCCGAGGAGGTGCGCATTTTAGAATTGATGACACCGGGTGTTCTTATAAGCACAGGACATGGCGGTGTCTTCCAGATGGGCCACTCAGTTGAGCAGGTTGTGGAAGGGACAGCCCCGGGTGAGGCTTGGCCATGGTGGCCCAGGGAAGCAAGTGAGAGCTTCCTTCTTAGATGGAACTGTGTGAGTCAAGTTCCATCCCAGCAAAGTGTATATTGTGAAATCCTCCGGTGACGGCATTTATGGTTAATACCTGAGACTTGTCCCTCAGAGGGACATTGTTCCTTCAGCAGAAGGCAGGCAATTCATCAGAAGGAAACACAGCCTCACTTTTGACTTTAAATCTGCTTGCATCTGTCCCACAGTATAGCCTCAGAATGTCGGTAAAGCCAGTAGCCTTCCCAAGCTCTGTGGCTCAGGACAGCTAATGCCATAGCGTTCGTGAAGTGTTTCAGTAGAATGTTTTCCAAGAGAACTCTCCAGCTTGCCCAGAATTGTACAGTTAAAAGACTTTATCCTTACTGAGCTATTAATACATTACTTTTTGTTGTCACCACGCCCAAGCTCTGAGTTAATATGTGCCATGCAAATGTGCAGCAGGAGAGACCAGATAGGCTTCTTCCACTAAGAATGTTTGACTTGTGTGGAGGAACCAGGTGGGAAAATTTGCTATTGAGACAAGCTCCTCCCAATCTTTATTCAGTTCGAGTTGAAGTTTTAACTAGCAAATGATGTTTAGAACATGTGGGCTGAGTGTCAGAATTTTTCTGGGGTCACTCAGGCAGTTTATCTCCATGCTATATGTTCCCTCAGCAAATAGCTTCCCCGAGACTGGGAAACTGAGGCCTACTGGCCACGTAGTAGGTGCAGAAACTCTGCCTCAATATGCTTCGATGTTCTCTGTGAATATATATGCTCTGAACTCAGTGAGCTGGGTTTTACTTGAGCCGGGCCTTGCCTGTGTGGAGGTGTCTGGTCACCTGAGGAAATAAGACTAAGACCCACAATAGTGAACAATACTATATTATGCGTCATGAGTGCATGTAGTGTTTCAAAAAAATGTCACGGGGCCAAGATCAGGAAGGAGAGGAGGGGGTAAACAGAGGGGTGGTAGCTGCCATCTTTGAGCCCCTACCAAGTTCTGAGCTCTAATTAATATGTCATCTAGCTTTTCCTGGGGTGGGCAGGTCATGTCCTGTTTGCATATGAGGAATGGGAAGCACAGGGGGGTGAGTAATTTCTCCAAGGTAGCGCTGCTGGGATTTGAATCCAGGTCAGTCCAGCTCCAAAACCCACACTCTTTCACCACATCTGGTGCCTCTTGGTCTTTTGGAAACTGTGGGACCTGAGCCAGGCTTTGGGGCATGGATCGAGTAACATGGAGGTCAGTCCCCAGCACCGGGAGCATCACATGAAGGCCAGGAAGTTAGAGTTGCTGTTGGTCTTCCCTGGATGAGTCAGGAGACTGGCTTAATTAGAGCAGGAGTCTATGTTGTGAGGCAACAGTGGGAAACAAAAGACCGTGGGTGGGGAGGATTAGAAATTAATTCTTCCCACCTCCTAGGATTGTTTGCCGATGAAACATGCACACTTTGAAACTATAAAGTGCTTCCAGATCAAAGCCTTGGTGCTATGTGATGGGAACTATATTCGAGGAGGGTCTCTCAAGTCACCTGGTAGGGAGCAGGCCCGGTCTGTATTCGTTCTGAACGAAGACCTCTGGGTAGAAGTTATGGAAAAGCAGGTACTGGTTTTTAGCAGAACCTTCTAATCCAGCTGTTGGCTCTAACAGTGACTTGAGCTGGATTCAAAGCAACATGCTCCCTGTCCCTGTCCAAAGACCACGTCTCAGGGCTGGTACTGGAGCGATCCCGTCATTGGTTGGAAGAGGTCTTCAGTTTTTGAAACTTTATCAGATGGAAACACACACTGGCAGCCCACTTGAAATACAGATAGAATCAGAGCTGCCCGGGATGGAGCAGGAGAGAGGGCTTGCCTACCTCCTTCCACTCCTGGTGGCTCTTGAGGGTACTGCTCAGAGTCTGAAGACTGGGTGGCTGAACAACCTCGATGGGTGATGTTGTGAAATGGGGCTTGGTTGAACTCCTTGGGTAGGAGTGGAGCATGATGGAGTTGATATTTGATATTTAAGGGGGGAGGTCTTTCTCATGGTGGTAGGAAGGAACGGAGGGGAGAAGAGCACAGTGGCAAGTGTAGATGAAGATGGTGGCCCTCGGCACCGAGAGGGGAAGACGCTGGAGAGGATACAGAGGATGTACATGGGAGTGGATCAAAGTTTCAAGCCTCCGAGAAGGGAATGTTGGGAGGGGAGCATGCTTTGTGAAGAAGAGGATGAGTTTAACTTGGAATGTGTTGAGTGTGACATAACAGAGCGCTCTGAAGCAAATGTCAGGTAGAAAGTGGGATCTAATGGGCCCAGAGCTCAGGTAAGTGTGGGAGCGCAGGGGTGTGGTCATGTACTCTGGAACGATACTGGAGGCCTTGACAGCAGATGTCTTCTCCAAGGAGAAGCTGTATGAGAGGAATATGGAGACCCAAGCACAAGACGAAGAGGAAAGGGAGCCAAGGAGAGAAGTCAAAGGGGGGTTGCAATGAGAGTAGGAAGAGAAGGAAGACGGTCTGGTTCCAGGGAAGGAAGGAAGGAGGGTGTTGTAGGACTGGGCAGGAGGCATCAACCTGTTTTACTAGTGGCCTCATTGTGTGGAGTGTGCAATCCCCTGGGCTACTTTTATTTTTTTAATTTTAATTTTTATTTTTAACTAGGCCCCACGCTAGGCTTGAACTCATGACCCTGAGATCAAGATCTGAGCTGAGATCAAGAGTCGGATGCTCAACCGACTGAGCCACCCAGGCACCCCATTCCTGGGCTACTTTTATGAAGCCCAGCTGTCAGCCTGAAATTTTATTTAGTAGAGAGACCTAGAGATGTCCTTAAATTTGGCTTTGAGGAGACTGGCTTTGCACAGATGAATTAGGGCATCTCTGGTAGCAGCGGGGCTCGGTCGTAGATGGAAAAGCTCCGACGGCCATTGTATTTTGCTTCAAGGAAAAGGACATCTAGACAAGGGGCTGTGGCACAGGGATGAGATGGAGTGGACTTGGAGCAGAGGCTGAGGGGCCCTTGCTATCCTCTGACTCAGGCCCACCCCCAAGCCCCTCCAGCAAGCACAGCTTTTGAGACCAACCAAGGATGTATTACGTTAGAGGTCTAAAGAGAGTGTGGCTCCTTCCCTTGGACTCTCTCTCTTGTGCCAGTTTGGTTTTGCCCCAAATCCCTTAAACTGCAGGCCGAGCTTTAGATTCTATACTGAGAAAAAAGGTTCTTGGGCATAAAGATTTGGCAGAGTTAATGCACCATGGAGGGGTCTGAACCTACGCATAGTCTTGGTTTTCTTTGGGTGGATTAGAAGCCAAAACTAGTTGATTCACAGGAGGGCCAATGATGTCTAAAGTCAGAAGGGGAACAGAAAGGAGGCTGGCTGAGGATTAATCAGGCCAGGGCATGGTACAAGGCAGGGGACAGAGCGGGAGTGGGTACCATACAGGACCAGGAGACGCCGGACAAAGACCTCTCTGCGCATGTTTCGTAGAGAACTGTGCACCCCTTTTCTTAATTTGAGTTCCTTGCTTTAAAAAAAAAAAAAAAAAAGGTATATGGTCGAGGTTTGACTAAGTACAGTGAAGATCCTTGTTTTGCACCCTGAGTGGAGACCTTTCGGAGAGATGCTGGCTACATCTCACTGAACAGTTTACCACACTGGCCTTCCAGAATGATAGTAACCAAGAGATGGTTTGCACTGAAGACTTCAGAAGCAACAGGGCATTTTTTGAAGTGGGGTGGGAGGAGCAAAACCATGTCCGAAATAGTCCGACGCGGCCTCCATTGGTAGAACGCACCGTTCTAGTAGAGAAGTAGCACAGGACACGAGGTAGGGATGGGGTGGGGAGGAAAACCATGTGGAAAACAGTTCTGTCTGAATCTCTGTTGGGATTTGTGCAGGGTCCATTAAGGCAGAAAGCTCCTGGAATAGGCTCATGTTGCATGACCAAAGACTGAGTTCAGTTCTTATATCTCCTTAGGCTAGAAGTAGTGTGATCTTGGAAAATTAATTTAGTCTCTGAGTCATAGTTTTCTCAAGTGGAAAGTGATAGAGGTATCACTTGCCACTAATTAAATGGTAGATCATGTGAAACACTTAGAGGCCTTCAGTTGAGATCAGAATAATTTAGGTTTTTAAATATATGCAAGTCTGACTGCCTCATTATTTTTATCAGAAACCTAGAAGCAGAATGAGTTAAAAAAAAAAAAAAACTTGACAACAAAAGAAACCCATACAGATTAGCAGGTCTTTTCATAATTCCTTCAGATGTTCTGTAGGTGGTTCCTTTGGGGCAGTCGAGGAAAAGGAAGTGGCAGAATGAAATGGGGGGCATGACGGGGGGACGGAGGGAGACATGGAAAAGGAGCCCTCGAGTAGGCAGCGAGAGAGACTGGTGCCACGAGAAGGCAGAGAAGTATAATAACGATGGACAGTCATGTTTTCGAGAGGGACAGTGCAGTCCTTCCTCCCTGTTGGATGTCAGTGTGTGGGGTTGAGGGACGGGACCTGAGGACAGGTCATTGTACTTGAGAGCAGTTTTATTGGCCTTATTTATTTATGCTTGGCTAATGGGAAGCGTTAACTTGGTAGTAAGTGCCAGGTGCCTATTTATCTCATTTAATCTTCACGCCATCCCGGGGAGGTGGGTCCATTGCCGTCCTCAGTTTATCGTTGTCTGCAGAGCCCTGGAAGAGGCTCTAAGAGGGTTAAATCAGGTCCTGCATCCAGCCTGAGGTGGAGAAGCCAGGCTCCGACCCCTGCATGACTGCAGAGCCTGACAGACAACAGGCTTGTCATTACCAGCCCCGCAGGAGCCTGGAGCCTGAGGCCGTGGCTGGAGTGGCGGCCAGACTGACCACAGGCTCTAACACAGGCATGGGGGAGGAGGAGAAAGGTTGGAGACTCAAGTCACAGGCAAGGGGCTTTTCCCCAGAAAGGCCTCCTAAAAGGGGGAAATGCAAGGTGCTGCAGGAGAAAGGAGTAAAGACTCCGCCCAGGGGGACTGGCCTGGGCCCTGGGCCCCTCCTCTGTTTGCCCTTTGGTGCCTCTTGTCAGCATGCATGTGGGACTTTTTTAGGACTGAGCTGTATACTGAAGTGATGTCTTCCAAGTTACAGTTCATTATCATGATGGGAGTTTGCCAGGTTGGGATCATGAAGGAGGAGGTAACTTCCCCCTCCTTCCCTATGTGGCTCCCCTAAGATTTTGGGTGTGTGTGGGGTGCTCATCACTGATTCCAGGTAGCACATAAATAAACTGATAAGAACACCCCGCATGCCTTAGAGATGCCCACCACTCTGGATTTTTCAAAGCACAGGCATATCTACCTCTAATGATCTTCTGCTCCCATCTTGTGTTCTTTCTGCCCCCACTCTCCATCTTGGTTTCCCAAAGGAGCTGTCCTGTGTGGCTTTTTTTGTCTGACTCGATTGCTATCCTAGACGCAGATGCAATCTTACCTTGAGGAAAAGCTCTCATCAACATGCTGAAAGTCAATGTGGACCTCAGGACTGGCTCCCCCAAAGTCGGTTGGCTCTCTCAGAGGTTGGAGGGTTCCAGGGCTCTTGAATAAAGCAGAAGTAAGAGCTACACTAAGGACGAGGAACTTGATGCATCGTTTCATTAGTATGAACGAGTAGCCTTTCGGCCTATTTGGGACATTCAGACACTCGAAAGACATTTGTGTGAAGCCATGGGCGTGGGATTGCCCAGCTGGACTCCACCGGGGGAGGGGACCTTCTGCGCAGTCTGGCCCATGTTACCGGCCTCCCGCCCAGTGACGGGTGCTCAGGTGGCCAGGGTCCAGGGCAAACCTTATCTGAGGAGAAATCATTCTCCTCGGGAGGAAAGTCCCCTGGCTTCCTGTTCTTGGTCCAGGGGGAGGCAGACCTTTTCCTCAGAAATCACTGTAAAGGAAGTGGCATGAGTCCTTCCTTAGGAAGCCAGGAGTTGACCCTTCTGAGCACTCCCTCCCTCGGAGAAGAAAGAACTGGAAACTAGGCACACGGTTCTTTCCACAGACAGTTATGCAGCCCTGCTGAACCCCCAAACTACCGCCTACAGGTGTAAGCCTCTCATAAAAGCAAACCAGATGTGCTCCTACCCTTTCCTCAAAGGAAAATGAAAGTAGGCAAATACCTGGCAGTATATTATCCGTGCAGAAATGTGCTGCTTTAGCTTCAGGCTGATTTAAATTAGTAGGGAATGCATTCAGGGGATGAACGTGACCCTAGCAGTAAAAATAAATAAATAAATAAAAGTAGACAGAGGATAGAATTTAAGCTAAGAAAAAGGAGGGGAAAGGAAGTGTTCTCAATTCTTTTTTCTTTTCTTCTTCCTAGCAAGAACCAGTTGAGTCATCTTTGGGGCTTAGTAATGGAGTAAGTGATCTTTCTCCTGAGTATGCCGTCCTGACTTCAGCTATAAAAAATGAAGTGGATAGTACGGTGAACATCATAGGTAAACTGTTTTGACATCTCATTTTTTATCTACACAAGCAGCCCCCTGGGGTCTAAAATTTGTAAAACGTGATTTGAAATAACATAGTCAGTGGGAGGAGGTCTTGGAACCATCTCAACATGCAAAGTTCCAGCCCCCAGGTTTCAGGGCTGAAGAATAAAGGCCCTTGAGGATCAGAGAAAGGAACTTTTGATGGGTCAGCCTCAAGAAAATAGGCCAAGAGTGACTTCCCAGGAGACTCCAGTAGATGAAATGGGTTTTCCCCCCCCAGTGGCTCATGATTAGCGGTTCTCCATCTTTCAATAAGCGGTCACATGGACAAAAGTGTTATCCTTTGAACTGGGGAATAAGGAGAGGGAAGACTGTCCTCATGGGTCCTCTCAGAACCTGGTCGGTGGCATAACCTGCCACAAAAGTGGCGCTCATCTTACAAATGAAGGAACTGAGGCACAGAGACCTGTGGCCAAACGGCATGTTTTGATTCCACAAAGATTCTTGAGCACCTTCCACAGACCAGACTCAGTGCTAGAAATAGGTTGGGGAACAGGACAGGCCCCATCCCTAGTTCCATGGAAGGAGACAGTCCCGAGTTCATGGAAGGAGACAGTAAACAAATACGGCCATAGGTAACTACAGTGCTAGCATGTGTGGAAAATGCTGCAAAGAAAAGAACAAGGGAGAATGTCTGGGGCCAGATTTAGATGGGAGGCTTCTGGAAGCTTCTGGAAGGAGTGGCATTTCCTCCTAAGTGGGTGGGTGAGGGGGAGCCCCGGGACTGCCAGACGTGGACCCCCACGTAGGAACCCCCTTGGAGGGCTAAGGAAGTCCAGAGTGGGGGTGACCCTGGGGAGAGGGCACGAGGGTCTGTCAGAGAGGGATGGAAGGTGGGGTCCTGGGGACTTTTCCGGCCACGGGAAAGGACATTGGGTTTTATTCCTGAACTGCTGGAGGATATGTTTCAAAAAAATTTTTTTTTTAATTGAAGTATGAGAGACAGTCAAGTGCACAACTGTTTTACACACACACACGATGTAGACCCAATCCCTTGGAGGGTTTTAGGCAGGAGGGGGACCAGAGTGAATTTCATCTCAGCCGGATCCCACTGGGCCACGGCGCTGAGTGGATGGTGGAGGCCCTGCGGTGAGCTCGTCTTCCAGCTGCAGCCCCAGAATCCAGAACCAGGCTTTGCCCTCGGGCACCTTGTGGTCCATTAAACTTTCCTCCATTTTGTAGACTGTCAGGGCTTCTGTTGCTGGTAAGAACCAGGGAGATCATGAAGAACTAGGAGAGCCAACCTCCTGTCCAGATGCCTTCACTTCTGGACCCTCGGCTGAGTATGGACAGGAGGCCGCAGATGCTATAAATGTCAGTGTCACGGGCCCTCTTCTCCTGGGTTTTGGAGTTGGGAAGTAGGCTGATGTACGAGGGCACTCCCTTGAACGCTGAGGGCTTTGGCAGAGGGCAGTGTGAGGGAAGGATGGGGGCCTGTGGCTGCCAGGCCGCGCTCCCCTCAGTGTAGCAAAGGCCTCAGAGACACAGTGTCTTCTCACTTCTGCTGGGAAGTGAGGCCTCACCTGACCAACGCTCCCCTCCTGGGTTCTCATCTGTCTCCGTCTCCTCAGCGGGCAGCCTCTGGAAAGCCTTGCCCATTCAGTCCTGTAAAAAAAAAAAAGAAAAGAAAGAGAAAAGAAAATGTTTGTCAAGACTCCAGGCACCTTTTCTTAAGATTCAGCTGTGTCGAGTGAGCTGGTTGGTTCTGAGCTCTCCTTCATGTATGAGGTGACTTCAACCTCGGATAAAATGGCGAACAAAAGTCACAGTAGTACAGCGTTTTCTTTACCTTTTTTTTTTTTTTTTTAAACACATCTGGTTGAGTCTTTGGCATGTAAATTCTCTGTCAGGTTGATTGTTCTTTGCCCTTTGGTATGATTGCTGCTATTGGGGTTGGTGCTAATTTAATAAGTCGTTACTTCCGGGGCAAAGACGGATGCCCAGTTTGGTTAGAAAATCACCTGCTGGATTAAATGAGTCTTTTCCTTGGCCTAATAATAAAATAATAAAGGAAGGCATAAAAGGAGTTTGAATATGTCTAATTAGTTGGTGGCCCTTACAAAGGTATATATATATAATAATACACCAAGTGGATCCATGCAAGTATTTTAAAGAAGGGGGTAATTTGTAATCATTGTTAACAGTAGCACTACCTTGGATTTTAAACCCTTCATAGAGCTTTTGTCTTCACTCCCACGGTGACCATTAATTAGCTATCCCTAGCCTCTGTGATTTGTGGACAGAGGTGAGAAACACAGGGATTCTGACTCCAAGGCCATGGTGGAATTTGAGAGATTCTCTCTCATCCTTTTGAAAATGACACCATTTCTTGCTTTCAGTTCATGTGTCTCTGAGCCCGGAGTTCAGTCCAGTTTTGTCTTCAGGCACCAAGAAAAAAGCTTCCAGGTGTTTTTCTTTCTGCTTTTAGAAGCAGGTACATGGATAAGATTTAAATTGGGAACTGAAATGAGTGTTTTGTAGCCGTTTTTCACATGGTCTTTCGGTTCTTAGCGAGGGAAATGGATTGAAAATCCATAAGTTAATTCAGCAGAGGCCAGCCGCCCAGTACATTTTTGTTCCAGGCAGGGTGGAGGCTATTGTGAGTGAATCCAGTAAGTGGACGAAACGGGGAATCCAGTAAGTGGACAAAACAGTGGCCCCAACCCGGGAACTCTTGCTTGATGGCTGCTGTGGTTTACTTTTATCCTTGCCACGGATGATACAGCAGGAACACGCACACACAGGCACACACGTGTGGCTGTCAGCGGGCTGGCCGCTGGTCTTGCTGTCGTCTTGTCCTTAACAGCTCAAGGCACTTTCCGATTTAGCCAGTTGTGCTGAGACCCCCCAAAAGGAGCGCGGTGTCTCAGCACTTAAGATGTGTCTTCGAGGGGCGCCTGGGTGGCTCAGTTGGTTAAGCGACTGCCTTCGGCTCGGGTCATGATCCTGGAGTCCCGGGATCGAGTCCCGCATCGGGCTCTCTGCTCGGTGGGGAGTCTGCTTCTCCCTCTGACCCTCCTCCCTCTTATGCTCTCTGTCTCTCATTCTCTCTCTCAAATAAATAAATAAAATCTTTAAAAAAAAAAAAGTTGTGTCTTCGAATGTTCTGTCTCTCCTGGATGATTAAACGGCCCAGGTGAGCACGCCCAAAGACCTAACCCTGCTTTGCTTTGAAGGGTGGCAGAAAAAAAAGAAAATTCCTTATTTTTATTTTTACTTTTCTTTAGCATTGAATTCTTTTTTGCATATGGTGACTTCTGTTTTGAGGAAGCGGAAGACGCCAGCAACATGTTGAATTGTTCTGACAATAGCCTGTTGGCGTCTTGCCCAGGTTAGCATGCTTTTGCTGAGCTGAATCGAAACCATCTCCAGGCCAGTGTAAAAAGTTTGCAGGTGCGGACGCTCAGTCTGACTTGCCTAGGCAGTGCTTTATAAGCCCATTGTGTTTCTCGATAAAAGGTAACCCCACCCTTCAAGAAAGCAAAGATTGCTGTGAACAGGGAGGCTATTCATCATTCCCAAGTCAAGCAAGCAATCCTTAGTGACTAGACATATAGCCATTAGGAAATAACGCAATTTGGATTTTTGTCTGCCCACAGTGCACCTTATAGGATGTACTTTTTTTTTTTTTTTTGGTAATGACTTCGAAAGTAAGTCATTCAAGTCATTCAAGCTGACTTGAAAAGTAAAGCTTGAGGAGCTCTTTTAGACAAGCTTAGAAACTCAGGTATAGCCAGGGAGGACTTGCAGTTGCAAAAAGAACAGATTCACAATGTAGAGACCACCTTCGGGTCACCCCGAGGGCCTCGTGGTAATGACTCAAGGTTGGCAGCCTCTGACCCCAGAATTCATAATGATTTGCGGATGGCCAGAAGTGATGCTAGGCTGTAGAACTGTGTCTTCATCTTTTTCCAACCCCTTTGTTCACTCTTCTTTTTTGCTCTTTTTCCTGGTGCTTAAGATGTAAAAAAAAAAAAAAAAATCCCTCTACAAGATAAATAATAGCTTGAGGTGGATCTTTAGATGGAAGGCCCCCCCTCATTAGGGGGAGGGAGTGAAGGTCTTCCATGCTCCTTCTCGGTGGGCTGTGTGCCGTGCCTCGTGCCTTCTTCGGGGAGGGCTGAGCTCTTTGCCTGTCTGGAGACAAAGCATCCAATTTTACCAGTACTCCTAGAAAACTCTGAGCAATAGGAAACTCCATGTGAGATGTGAAACCCAAATGTCACAATATACCCAGACCTAGAACCGAGAGTACACCTTATTTTTCTTCAGGGGACCGGACCTGGGGAAGCCTGGTCACAGAGGTGAGACTGCATGGGATTCTCTCAGTTGCCATGTGCCAACACGAGCCTTGGTAGTAGTTTGGCTATTGCCTTTCAACCTTGAGAAGTTTTTATTTGCCCAAGAAGCCTGCCATCTTTTTTTATGAGGCTATATATTTCTCACCTTCCCCTCTCCCTTGCCACCACCTCATTTATAATTAACCATCAGATCCTTCTGTCTCCCCTCATATTTCTCAAATCCAGCCCCTTCTTTCTCTTTTTGATATTACCCCCAGTCACCTTCACTCTTGCCAGGGCTCTCCTTCCATTCTGCCCCCTCCCCATTCATTCTCCACATGGAGGGATTTTTTTTTTTTTAATTTTTAATTTTTTAAATTTTTTAAAAGATTTTATTTATTTATTTGAGAGTGAGAGAAAGAGCACAAGCAGTGGGAGGGGCAAAAAGAGGGAGAGGCAGACTCCCTGATGAGTAGGGAGCCCCATGCGGGGCTTGATCCCAGGACCCTGGGATCATGACCTGAGCTGAAGGCAGACGCTTAACCGACTGAGCCACCCAGGCACCCCGGGATTTTGTTTTTTAAATGCCAGTCTCACCATCATGTCACCATTGCCCCTAGATCAAAGACCCGAGTCTCTCTCGTGTCCCAAGAGTCCTGCTACCTGGTC